CATATAGAGAGGTCCTGAGACCAATCCCCCTGCCTAGGGGTGGAGACAGTAAGGTAGGAGTGTTCATCTCAAGGGCCTAAAAGCCAATGCTTTTACAATATAATCAACCAGCACAGAACTCCTGTGTCCCAGGCTCAGTGGGAAGACCAAAGCATAACCCTGATCAAAGCCAGCCAACAGGCACAGCTGACTTTATAACACTTACAACCTTTTGTAATTCAACTTCCAGGACACTACTAGAGCCACCATACACCCCAGCCCAACTTCAGTCTCCCTTTAAAGGCCCACTCACTTCTGCACAAGATGGAATGGAGCCCATTTTTCTCCCATCCATCAGCTACTCAATGAAACCGTTTTATGCTTTAATATCCTTCTTTATTTACCTTTGACAATGGAAAACCCTTAGTAGCATTCAAGGCTTTGTTAATTAATATAATAGACATTCCAAGTGGGTTTTCATTAAGGAAAGAAAAATCTCAGTGATCAAGAAATCTCATCTAAGCCGGGTGCTGGTGGCTCACGCCTGTAATCCTAGCTACTCAGGAGGCTGAGATCTGAGGATCGCGGTTCAAAGCCAGGCCGGGCAAGAAAGACCGTGAGACTCCTATCTCCAATAAACCACCAGAAAACCGGAAGTGGCGCTGTAGCTCAAGTGGTAGAGCGCTCGCCTTGAGCTGAAGAGCTGAGGGACAGCGCCCAGGCCCAGAGTTCAAGCCCCACGACCGACAAAAAAAAAAGAAATCTCATCTAGCTGGAAACATGTGGGCCTGGGCATTCCTGATCTGGGGGGGCCGGCTGATCTTGGTGAGCTGGCTAGAAGGATGCACTGAGCCTTCTCTCTACAAATGACAACCATGGGCTTGAGCAGCTACAGGGTCCAATTGTGGCACTCTTGCTTGCCTGAACCCAACCAGAAAGTTAGTCAAGTCTTTCCCACTAAAACACTGTCATATATTGCCCATGTGAACTTTTTGTGTAAGACACATGCTTGCCATAGCACCAAGATCAAAGATCTTCACAGAATCTCAGAACAGGCTACACAACTATTTTGTATGTAATTACTAATATCTGCATGTGTGGCAGAATTCAATCTGGAACTTCAGTGTTTATAAGCTGGACCAGGTGTAAGGAAGAAACTAACGCACATGTACCTATGATCAACTGACAGCCAACAATATCTATCAAAACCCCTTGATTGTTGTGTTCAACACTGTCTCTCCTTCAAACATTATTGATCCATACTCTATTAAGAAGAACACTAAGGAACAGCAATGTACCCCAAAGGTTGTCCAGCTTACACCAGTTGGAGCAGTGGACCCACCAGCATAAGGCCTCCCTCCGAGAAGCTCCAGCTCTGTGCTCCAGCTGCCTCCCCTATAGAAAGCAGGCCACATAGAAGAGAACCCACCTCTCTGTGAGGCAATGAATGATGTATTTGTAAAACTACTGTGCTGAAATAAATTTCAGTGCTCATCATCAGTGCTTAGAGTTGCCTGCAGTAAACCCTGCTGGACTTTATTCTCTGATTGTCTGGAAAGTGTTATCTAGATTTGTTAAGTACACAATTGATCTCACTTCTGACTGTATATACTGTCATTTCTTACAAGCTTCCCCCACCTAAGTTAGGAGACCTAGGAAGCCCTGTATCATTCTGTCTCTAGGCATCTACTACAGTGCTCTGTGCCCATACAGTATTGAGTGACCACTCTGCAATCTCTGCTGCCATTAGCACCCATTAACCAACAGCCCAAGTAAAAGCTTAAGAGTACCAAAGTACTGGGGCTGGGAAGGTGGGTCAGTGGTAGAGCGCTTGCCTTGCATGCCTGAGGCCCTGGGTTCAATTAAGCAAAAAGAAAAAAGCCAGAAGTGGGGTTGTGGATCAAGTGGTAGAATGCTAGCTTTGAGCTGAAGAGCTGAGGGACAGCACCCAGGCCCAGAGCTCAGGCCCCATGACCGGACCAAAAAAAAAAAAAAGAGTACCAAAGTACAAAAAGAAAAGATGACCCCGGCACTGTGCTTATGCTGGTGGTAATAACCTCTAATAAAAACATTTAGGGTATCACCAAGTCCTGTAACTTTCTATTATTATATGTAATCTTCACCTCAACTAATATTATCACATTCACTCTGTAGTAGAGGATGACTTATTTGTGGGTACAATCGCTGGCTCATCTCTATCTGTTAAACCTCCCTTCACTAGAAATTTGCTAGTTTTGTTTTCTGTAGCTGTTATACCTAAATAACTGAAACTAGGTCAATTAAAAAGAAAAGAAGGGTTGGGAAGGTGCATCAGTGATAGAGCGCTTGCCTTGCATGCATGAGGCCCTGGGTTTGATTCCTCAGCACCACATAAGCAGAAAAAAACAGAAGTGGCACTGTGGCTCAAGTGGCAGTGTTAGCCTTGAGCTGAAGAGCTAAGCGACAGCATCCAGGCCCAGAGTTCAGGCCTCACAACTGACAAAAAAAAAAAAAAAGAAGAAGAAGAAGAAAAAGAAAAAAGAAAAGAAGTCCTTCTTAAAATTCTGGAGGCTGGGCAGGAGTGAGGCACTGGTATCTAATGGCATTGAGTAAGGGTCTTCTTCCTACATCACAATGGGGTAGAGGGCAGCAAATGGCAAGCAGCAAGTATGCCACAGACAACTATACCAAAGCTACTCCATGGATAACCCATGAATCCATTGATTCATGAATGGATCTAACCACCTCCCCCGCAAGGTCCCTTCTACTCCTCCCACACCCTGGAAGATTCTTTACCTTGCTCTTTCTTCATTAATCAGTCTAGAGGCGTCTTCTTAAGATAGGTTCCTTTGAAAACACTCCTAAGGCTGTTGTACCCACAGCCTTATTACATGACCAGTGAATTTATTATTCTGTTATCTGGAATATCATACGCCTTTCCTCCACTGCTTCACACACACACACACACACACACACACACACACACACACACACTTAAGAGCAGAGATGTTTGTCTGGCTTCTTATTATATATCCACCTCCTGGCACATAGTAGGTTTTCAAACAATAAAAATCCTAACTGGTACACTTAGATTCTGATGCTGGTGCCATGACGTTTGCTAGAGTTCTTTCTACATGATGCTGGGGACTGAACCCAAGCCTAGAATATACTAGACAAGCCCTCTACAATTGAGCTACACCCCAGCCCTTCACATAAACTCCTTAATGGCTTCAGATAAAACCACCATGCCACAGGCCTGCACTGCATTGAAACCTACCACATTAAGACTGGAGTAGCACTGAGAAAGCAGAAGTCACTGTCCTGTGATGAACAGGCAAGACTTGGTTCTTTCCAAAGCCTAAGAGGGGGATTTCACAAGCAAACCAATTGAGAAATCAATCATGCCAGTAATTGTTTAACAAAACTTATATGAGTAAGTACTGGTAATAATCTTCAAAGCATGAAATTGCACACCAAAAGAACCACAAGAGCTTTAAAGGGACCAAGACTGATGCCCCCAAATACACTTAATTACTCCAGTTAGGGAGAAATTATCTCAAAACAACAACAACAACTGGGCACCAGTGGTTCAAGTTTATAATCTTAGCTATTCAGGAGGATGAGATCTAAAGTCCCTGGTAGAAAGCCAGCCTGGGCAAGAATGTCTGGGAGATTCATATCTCCAGTTCACCACCAAAAAGCCAGAAGGGGAGTTGTGTTCCAGGTGGCAGAGTGCTAACCTTGAGTGGCAAAAGCTCAGGAGCTACATTCAGGCCCTGAGTTTAATCCCCAGGACCAGCACGAAAAGAAAAAGAAGAAAAAAAAAAAAAGATTTGCAGGGGACTGAAAGTGTAGTGAAGTAGTTGAGCACTTGCCTTTCATATCTGCACAGGAGGTCCTGAGTTCAATCCCTAGCTCCACAAATAATAATAATCATTGTAATTTACTGAAAACAGCTTTCTGGTGGGTCCTCGTCCCACAAACGCCCTGGTAAGATGGTGGGCCTTTCTGTGCCCTCTCTTTCCTTGCCGGACACGAAGAAGTCATTGTACCTCAAGCAATTTCCTCATCTCTGCAAACACCAGCTTGCATGTTTGCCAAGCGCAGTATTAGATCTCAGAAACCAAGATAACCCTACACGGTCACCCCTGAAGAGAACAGATTACCTACCAGTACAACAGGCTGGTGGTTACAGAGACTGCAGGCAGCCCTAACCCCTGCCGCGCTCACAGCACTGACAGATTCTCCAAAGGCTGAACTAAAGCAACGCGCAGGGGGCGTGGGGTCGGCGCCCAGAAATCTTTTAACCCACTCCGTTTGTTCTAACCTCGTAGAACGAAGTGCGACGAGCATAAAAGGGCTTCGCTGAAGAACAACACAAAACAAACAAACCACCACCACCACCACCTACTGATCGTGCCCTGATGCCCGCTAACCTGGTACAGGGTCGAGACGCCCGGCACACACGGACATCTGTGATTTCGCTACTGTCAATTCAGTACAGGAGGCTACAGGACAGGTTCGGGCAAAGCCCAACTGCAGAGGGCTGTTCATGCCCGCTCCCTACCCAAGCAAGGCTGGACTGGGCGGCAAGGCACAGCCCAAGGGGTTAGAAGTGGAGCTTCAGGACCTTCTCCGCCGCACACTGCCCGTCCTCCAGACGGTGAGATTCCCAGGTGCAACCTGCCCGGACAGTTTCGTTCCAGCTCTGGTCCGGGTGCGGGGAAGAAGACCTGGTCCCAGCCCCCGTCCTCTCCCGGGTTCACCTGACGGGCGGTGGTGCCAGGGAGGCTCGGCGACATTCACCCGCGCCAGGCAGCCGGGCTTCAGCGTCCCGGAGGCCGCACCGGGAGACCTCGGGGTCGCCCTCCCGGCTTCCCCGCGTCCCTTCCCGTCCACCCACCCGCGCAGGGCAAGGTTCCCCGTAGGCTGATCGCCCAGCGCCGGCCACAAGCGCTCCCCTTCCCGGGAGGCGCCGGCCAGATCGGGCGCCCCGCCACCAACCCGACCTGACACCCCGCGCGGCGCTCCGCCTGGCTCACCTGGCCCGCACAGCACTGCGCGGACATCGCGGCGGCAAGCGACCACCGTGCGCTTCCCGCTCCGCGCGCCCCTCCGCCTCTCCCGGCGGCTCGCTCCGCGCGCCCGTCTCCACAGCGGACGCCGCCTCCGCGCCGCGCAGCGCCGAGCAGCAAAACCCCAGCTGAGCGCAAGGCAATGCCGCCCGAGCGAAAACAACTGCCGCCAAGCCCCGCCCCGCGCCGCCCGCCACGCCACGCCCCAGGCCGCCGGCCACGCCCCCAGGCCGCCGGCCACGCCCCGCGCCGCCCGCCACGCCACGCCCCAGGCCGCCCGCCACGCCCCGCGCCGCCCGCCACGCCCCGCGCCGCCCGCCTCGCCACGCCCCAGGCCGCAGGCCACGCCCCGCGCCCCCTCTGCCGGGATGCCAGAGGCAGCTCCCACCCGGAGCTCGCACCAGCTTGTACTTCCGCTGGCGTCAGGTTGCTGGGCCGCTGTGGTCACTTCCCGAAGAGGCGCTTCTCACGCCACGCGTCCGGATTGGTGCGCTTGCTAAGCCGCTCTCTGCCTCTAGCAGAGCCGGGTGCAATCACCCCTCGCCCCGGAACCGGAGAACTAGAGTCCCATTTGTAGTATTGTCACTGATGGGCCCAGTGAGTACCCCTGGACTGTGCCTCCTCGAGCTCCCTCTCCGCGAAATCCCTTTAACCCCCGCACCATCCGCCAAGAGAACATCGCTATGTGAGAGTTCTCACATCTGCCCAGAATTCAAACCCGGAGCCAGATGGCTGTTCTGCCACTAAAGAACTCGGGGAACTCTTTCCTCATTTCTCTGGACTTAAAATATATATATATATATATATATATAGTTTTATTTTGCCAGTACTAGAGTTTGAATTCAGGCCTTGAACTTGCTCAGCTGGCAATCTACCACTTGAACAACACCTCCAGCTTGGTTTTTTTCTTGGTTATTTTAGAGACTGAGACTCCTGAACTTTCTTGCACCTGCTAGCTTGGAACTTTAATCTTCCAGATCTCAGCCTCCTGAGTAGCTAGGATTACGGGTGTGAGCCACCTGTACCTCAACACCTCTGATTCCTCCAGTTTTCCAGCTTCTCCTCTGCTGGCTTGAGAGCCTAGAAACCCAGTATGTGTCCTTTCTTCTCACCTGACTCTCTGAGGATTCCTTGTAATAAATTTGTTCACTTTAAAAAGCAGAGAGGGCTGGAAAGACAGCTAAGCGGTAGAGTGCTTGCCCAGAATTAATGAAGCCCTGGTTCCATTCCTCAGTACCACATAAACAGATAAAGCTGGAAGTGGCACTGTGGCCCAAGTGGTAGAATGCTTTCCTTGAGTAAAAGAAGGTCAGGGACAATGCCCAGACCATGAGTTCAAGCCCCAGGACTGGCCAAGATAAAATTTTTTTTTAAAGCAGAGAATATTGCTCCTAGTTTTTCTCTATTCAGATCTCCCAAGTACTTCAGCAAGAGTATTGTTTCTAGTAATGTAACTTTCATACCAAGCACTTAGCGCATTCAAAGGAGAAAACATTCCTGTATTTGAGAAACACAATGAGTGAAGACCAGACTTGTCAAACAACTTGCTCAAAGTCGTATACAATGAAAAAATAAAGATGAAGTTGGAATCCATACATCTGATCCTCTTGAACACTCAAGTCTTGACCTACACTGGACAAAGCCTTTGGCTTTAATTAGTTCAGGAATTGGAGTCTTAGAGAAATGTCTGCTTATGAGCAGCCCGTAATCTTCTAACATCTTAGATCAGGCATTGGTGGGAGAGAGATAATGGAGCAGCAGGTACTTAGCCCCAGTAAAAGTAGTAAGAACTGCCGGTACCTCAAAACAAAAACAAAAATGGGGTAGATCAAATCCGACCAGACCAGCAACCTGCTGGGTGGCAGCTTATGACTCATTAGAAATTAGGACCTCACTGGGGCCTTACAGAAAGCTTCATTGTTTGCTTCAGGCAGGGTCAGTTCATTTAGAACTTCTGCCAGGCTCCAAATACAGGAAAACCAGTTAGGCACCTACAGTTTCTATAAAGCGCCTCAGTGGCAGTGGACATGGTAGTAGGGAATGAAATCTAGCAATATTTGTACTTACTCAGTGGTAGAAAATTTGCCTAACATACATAAGGCACTCCCCAGCTCAACGAAAAAAATAAAATAAAATAAAATAACTTGTGAACGTGTAGGATGTACCCCAAGGTACCAGAAAAGGATAATGAAAGGCCACCCTTTCAGTTGCAAATTCTAATCACAAAGAACTTGCTGAGTAACCTGATCCTGTTTCCTCTTCTATAAACCACACTAAAAAAGACATTCTTCAAGAACTGATTATCTCAAGCCTACAGATATGCAATACAGACCTTGCCCCTTGAAGTACAAATTAAAAGGTAGATCCATCTTGCGTTAATAAGGATGTTGAATTTAAAAAACAACAATCTCAGACTTTATTATACACTTTTTCAGCCACTTCAAGAGCCATGAGCTATGTGCAAACATTGTTAGTCCAGTAGTCATATAAACAACCAGTCCTGCAAATGGCACAGAAATGGTATCAACTACAGTCTGGGAATGGAGCTTGGTGATAGAGCACTTGCCTAGCATGCATGAGGCCCCAGATTTAATCCTTCGTAGAAAGAGGGGCAGGAAGGGGGTGGGGGAGGCAGAAGAGAAAAAGGGAGAAAAGAGAGAGGAAGGAGAAAATGGGAGAAAGGAAGGAAGCAAGCAAAAAGAGAGAGAAAGAAAGAAAGAGAGAGAGAGAGAAAGAAAGAAAGGAAGGAAGGAAGGAAGAAGGGAGGGAGGGAGGGAGGGAGGAAGAGAGGGAAGAAAGAAAAAGAAAGGAGGAGGGAGAGAGGGAGGGAAGGAAGGAAGGAAAGGGAGGGAAGGAGGGTGGGGAGAGGAAGGAAGGAAGAGAAGAGGAGAAAGGGAAAGAGAGAGGAGGGGAAAAGGGAGAGAGAAGAGAAGATCTTCGCCAGCTACAAGTCAGAAAATGGCCTAATATCTAGAATATACAAATGGCTCAAGAGAATAAACCTTCAGGGCTGGGAAGGTGGCTCAGTGGTAGAGTGCTTGCCTTGCATGCATGAGGCCCTGGGTTCGATTCCTCAGAACCACATAAGCAAAAAGAAAAAAGCCGGAAGTGGCGCTGTGGCTCAAGTGGTAGAGTGCTAGCCTTGAGCTGAAGAGCTGAGGGACAACTCCCAAGCCCAGAGTTCAGGCCCCACGACCAGACCCAAAAAAAAAAAAGAGAGAGAGAGAGAAAGAGAGTAAATCTTCAAAGTATCAATAACTAATTGATAAATGATTAATCAATTGGTAAAAGTGCAAAGGAACTAAATAAGGGCTTCTCAAAAGAAGTAAAAATGGCCAAAAGACACATGAAGAAATGCTCAACATCTCTGACCATAAAGGAAATGCAAATCAAAACAACACTGAGATTCCATCTCACCCTAGTGTGAATGGCCATCATCAAGAACACAAACAGATACTGAAGAAAGGCAAGCCAATTACACTTTTGGTGCAAATGTCATCTGATGCAACCACTCTGGAAAAGTTTGGAGATTCTTCAAACAACTGAACATAAAGCTGACACCGGACAGAGGTGAGGTTTAGTGAAGCTCCCCTTCAAATATAGGAACTCTTCGCTTAGAGTTCTTGACTTCAATCACAGAATAAGAATTTCTGGACAAGTCACAATGGTAAGAAAACTTGACAGAGTTTTATTAAGTAAACAGACAAGGAAACAAACAGACAAAAAGCTGACAAACAGAAGGGCAGGGGCACACTAGCAGAGTGTGGGTGCTCTCTCATAGGGACACAAAGACACATAGAAAGACACATACACAGACACATACAAGGAGACACCCCAGAGAGACACACAGCTTCTTGGGCTGTTGGGTATTTATAGGGTAAAGGCAGGGGGTCTGGCTTTAAGTTATGCAAAGGTAGGTGCTTTGTCTTTGCTTTTTAACTACACCTGGTGTTATTCTCTGAGTTTCCAGGTAAGAATGCATCCTGACATAAAACAGATCCTTATCCTTGAAACAAGGAGACATCCTGCTATCTGCCTTTTGGGGCATCCTGTCAGGCAGTTGTGAATTCTTGGGTATTGCATCCCTTAGGAAAGAATGCATTCATTGCCTCTCTTTGAAGCAGATAGCATTTCTAAGTTTTTAGATAGCATATTTCTGAGTTGCCTACACCAGGCCTCAGTTTCCATAAATTATCTTGCTTATTTCCCCCAAAATGACTTTTGTTCCACTAATCTTAAGGGAAGTACATGAAGGAATATCTCCTGTACTTGCTGTTAGCTGACCATACCTCATTTTTCCTAATCTATCCAGCTTCAAAGCTATGTGTCAGTAGCTCACATCTATAATCTTAGCTACTCAGGAGGCTGAGATATGAGGATCTCAGTTACAAAGCCAGCCCAGGCAAGAGAATCCATGATACGCTTATTGCCAATTAACCACCAAAAAAGCCAAAAGTAGAGCTATGGCTCAAATGGTAGAGCTTTTACCTTGAGCACAAAAGCTCAGGGAGAGCACCCAACCCCTAAGTTCAAGCCGAAAGAGTTGTATGTACATACATACATAAATAAATAAGTAAACAAACAAATATAGAACTACCCTATGATCTAGTGATAAACTTGTGCGTTTATCCAAAAGATTACAAGGCAGGATACAATAAAACCACTTGCATAACATGTTCACTGTTACACTATTCACCATAACCAAGTTATGGAAACAGCCTAGATACCCATCAGTGGATGACTAGATTAAGAAAATGTGAGATGTATGTGTATATGTGTGCATGCATCTGTATGTGTACACATGTGCATGTGTGTGTGAATTTTACTCATTCATCAGAAAGAATGATATTATATCATTTTCAGAGAAATAGATAGACCTGGAAAAATTAAATTGTGAAGTAAGTCAAGCTGAGAGAGACAAAGAACATATTTTCTCTAAAATGTGAAAATTAAATCTAACATACATTACACACACACACACACACACACACACACACACACATGATAAATGCATACATTCACAAAAAGTGTTCACTACAGTATGGTATATGCAGGGAGGAATCC